TATGTGCCTCATGCTGTCGAGAGATGCCTGCCCGAGCTCTCTGCACACACAACAACATGGCTGACTGGTTGTGTGCGATGGCCTGGTACATGCTAAAAGGCCATTTTCCTAATTGTGGTCCCACATGCCCGAGTTAGAAGTCGCCAGACACTCCCCTGAAACGATAGAGAAGATGGGTAATCACACAATGGTACCCGGCATGCCCCACCATTTGGGCAGACCATGACTTGGCTCGTAGTCACGCACACCCCTGGACAAAGAAGACGACGATGACGACTATGATGAGCAACCGCTGAATGCAGAACACAAGGCACATCTGCGTAGGCTAAAAGAACAAGTAGAAGCAGCCTTCTGTTCATCATCATGACTCCTTTGTAAGTCACATCTGCTCGAGTGCTTCGCCAAGGCCATGGGACTGCACACAAATGCTTGCAAAAGCTCGGCCATTCCAATTCGGTGTGCCGGACTTGATTTGGATAACATCCTTCAGCCTCTCGGTATTCCAGTCAAGCATTTCCCAGTAACCTACCTCGGCATGCCACTTTCACTACGTAACCTGACTAAGGTAGACTTGGACCCATTGATACACAAATTCGGAAACAAAACTGCGGCGTGGAAGGGTGGTCTCATGGCCAAGAGCGGTCGGCTAGTGCTCCTTAAATCTGGACTCACGTCCCTGGCGATTTACTTGATGACAGTGCACAAGCTACCGGCATCGGCCCTTAAAAGATTGGTGCAGATGTGTCGCGCCTGGTTATGGAGTGGGGAGAGCTCTTGCAACGGCGGAAAGTGCAGGGTAGCTTGGAGTCTTGTTTGCCGCCCCAAACACCTTGCTTGACCTGAACAAATTTGGCACAGCGCTGCGCTTGCGATGGCTCTGGTTAGCCTGGCAAGACCCACCGCGACCATGGGCTAAATCTCCCCTCCCTTGCGACGATGCGGATCGCACGTTGTTCGCTATGGTCACATACATAACAATTGAGGATGGTTCCAAGGCGAGCTTTTCGCATGACCGGTGGCTTGCTGGACAATGTCCCAAGACCATCGCCCCGTCTTTGTTCAAGATTACATCCCGCAAGAACCGAACCGCAGAGGCGGCGCTGGCCGGTGACAACTGGCTTCTCGACCTCGCGCACTGGCTGTCCGACGACTTGCTCCCAGAGTTGAACCGGCTGGCAACCATGCTTGACGACGTGGTACTGTGTGTTGGCCATCCAGACACAATTACCTAGCATTTCACTTCCGAGAAGGAGTACATGGCCCGCTCAGCCTACCTTCTGCAGTTTGAGGGCTCTATTCCCATGGACAATTACAACCTGATCTGGACGGCCTGGGCACCTGGGAGGTGTCGCTTCTTCATTTGGACAACCATACTGGGACGATTCCTTACGGCAGACGCGTTGCTCCGTCGTGGTTGGGTCAACGACTACTTCTCCCCGCTATGCGAGAGGAACCTGGAAACCACGATGCACCTTCTAACCAAGTGCCCTTGGTCTCGGCATGCTTGGGACAAAACTGCCTCGCTATGCAACATGCCGGCGCTAGCTCCAGCGTCCTGGCCATAGGTCACCACGATCAAAGATTGGATGGGAAACTGCTACAACAGTGTAACACAATCAAAGAAGAAGGGCACATTATCGATCATCCAACTGCTATGCTAGGAGATATGGCGGGAGAGGAATAGGAGACTTTTTCAACACCTGTCACTGCCCCAGGAAGTTTTCCTTACGAGAGTGCGTGACGAAATCCATCTCTGGAATCTGGCAGGCGCTGGAATTCCTTTTGATCCTGGCTGAGCTGTTCTAGGAGAGCAGGTGTTTTTTATTTTCCTCTTTCCTTCTTCTTTGCTTTGGGTGCCTCACCCGCCTGGGTTTCTCTTGTAGCCCGTTTTTCTCCCCCTGATCAATGAATTTGGTAGACAAACTACCGACATTCAAAAAGAAATATAACCTTTCAGTAGTCCTTCTTCCCCTCAATAAGATGATACCGACAACGTAAGCAGAGAGCCCAGCAAAGTGGACCCCATGGGCTCTGAATTGCTACATGATACATGTACCCGTCCTTGTGCCGGGTGCTCGTTTTTCATGATGGAGGGCCTTTGCTGAGGGGCGGCATGCTCCCGTTTAGCCTGGCCTGTGGAATTGTCGGTTGTTTCCTTGGTTTGTATGTGTTGTGTGCCCAGTACCAAGGCGAACAACCTCACGCATGCTTTGGAGCCAGTCTGCTGCAAGAGGAAGTTACGACTACAAAGAGGGGAATGCCAAAACGGAGAGAAGGCTTTCTCCAAGTACACAACAATGAGTTCGGCTGGCTGTGTGGTTGGTGTGGATGCGGCGCCCAGGCCAACACAGGTTCTCTGTCTTTTTGATGGATATGTGGAGGCACCTTGCCCACTCGGACTATCACTTTTATCTTGTCGGGAACCGACGGGGAAAAGGCAAGCCATCAAGTCCGACGCCCACGAGGCGGACACCACCAGTCAGACACAGATGACGCGAAGGCCATCCACCTATCAGAGCTAACAAGGCCAGCCATCTTCATCATCGTACATCAAAGTGTCGGAGGGATATGGCTAAGTATTGCTGGAGTGACGATGTATCGCTCCACCCTTCTATTTCACCACCCGTCACCATCGTCTACACCGAGCACTTTGAGAAGACAAGACGTGAAGACGGCGACCATTCCAACAGCTTAATAGGAGGCGGTCCGCAACTTGACTGCGAACGTAATTAATCGGTAGCTTTCCAACGCCCCGTGAACCAGAGATCTTGCAATTTTCTTTCTCCAATGAGAGATTAATAAAATGCATGTTATGTGATTAGTACACTAACACGCCCTGCAATGTTTATTTCCCCCACGTGTAGAGAAATAATAATATAATAATCACTTTATTTCTATTATTTCTCCTGAAAACACCCCCTTGTAACTGATCTTGGTCCATCCGACATATAGTAAAACCGAAATGTGGGTTTGTGGTCTCAACCTAAGTAACTTTGCCACCCCATCCCAACCCCCTTGGGCTTGTGTTTTAGTCAAGAACATATACGAAGCTAAACAACAGTTATGCACAGACTGTTAAAAATAGGAATAAATACAGTAGGAAAACTTTTCATGAACTTTATGTTTTCCATTCTTACCTGGGCGAAGAACATTTCTCTCGGGGGAATTTTCATGTAAATTCCAAGCTTAAAGCTTGCAAGAGTTCCTAGAGTATATTCAATACACCATGTGCTGTACAAATTAAAAACCATATTGGCCAATGGTCGTCCAGGATAAAAGTATCCAATGATGATATGTGCAAACAAACTCAATGGCGGTTGCTACAAAAATGACATCAAAATCTTGTGAGAAGTCAAAACATAGATTAAATGGCATAGTTATCATTAATAATTATTTGAGATGAAAGAAAAATCTTAGAGCATGTATAATAGGTTCTAGTCATCAGGCTATAAGATGTTGGACATCAGCAAAATCCCAGTTGGAGAAAAGAGAAGATAGGAGAGAGAAGGGAGGGGCTGCTCGCCAGACTATAGCACAATCTACGATAAAATAAAGGCAGCATGCAGCCAATGTGAGGGCTAAAAATGGGCGATCCCTCCTACATGCCAATCATCGTATGTTTCCTTGCCTCTCTCTACATGTAACCATTAAATACTATAGCTGACTTAGAGCTCAGAAATAGCCAAAGGTTTCTGGTCCCATTGCACCCGAATTGAAAAAATAATATCAAAATGAGTCAAAACATTATGTAACAAACATGACTTAGTGTAACACTCACATGAAAAGTTTCGCGAAGGAATGACTTCTGTGACTGATACTATATAAAAGTTAGCATTCACATTTTTTGGACTTGATTTTTTTTTGCCGAGAATACCATGAGAGTCATTAATCTGTGAAACTTTTCACATGAGTATTACGCTATGCCATGTTTGTTACAAAATTGTTTCTGATTTTTTTGACTCTTTTTATTTTAAAATTTATTTTTCTAATTCAGATGCATTGGTCCCCATGTTCCAAAGATCCACTTCCATTTACAGCCAACCTAACTACTACGAGTACTTTTTTTGGAAGGCATTATATGATGTGGCACTATTATAGAGCCATCAGCATGCTGTTCTATTAGCCTTGCTCCTAGATAACTTTCCAAGTGTTTTAGTTTGGTGTATTAACGTTTGAAAATACAAAGTTTTCATTATTTGTAACCGCATACATCCAAAATTTAAAGAATAGTAAATGAAGTATGCCTTTCTTCTAAAAGTTTGTGAAGCTGGAAAAGTGTAGTTATTATTACTAGGAGTAAATATTCACTAAAAAGCAGTTTTGCACAATTATGTACGCAGGTGAACACACATTTACTCTACAGTCTACACCCACTCCATTTTATGTCTCTGCACCAGATTTTTAGATTGCAACATTTTATCTTAGAAAGGAAGTCAAGAAGAACATAAGGAAATGTATATTGGACTTTTTTCTTGTTGACGTGACATAAAACTGGAAATAGAAACAAGGACGTCACACCTCTATATCAATATAAAATTTCTAATTTTGCCTTGACTTGTACCTTACATTGCATATGCTTATTTGTGCACCTAGAGTCAGAAGAGAATAAATATTTGTGCACACTACATAAACTCCGACATAAGAAAACCTTGGGTGCAAAGTAAGCAGTTCTGCACTGGGGTGCACGACAGCCTACTACTAATCAGATTGAATTTATTTAATTTGATAAGATTGATCCCTATGGTACTTTGCTTCATGAACTGTCTTCCTCGCATAAAAACTATCGGAACTTTGCATAAGGGTACTGAGACTCCTTGGTAAATTTATTGCCACCAAATGGACTACCAAATGAGTACATTTTATTCTCAGAATATGACCATATGAAGATATGTTTTTGTAACCGCGAGAGGTTTGTTGCGATATGATGGCCTTTTTTACTAAGAATTAACAAGGTTTGCTAATTTCATGGCACCGGATACTTAAAGAGTTTAGCAAGCTACCTAGCAGGCGGTGGCACGAAGTGCTGCTAATGGGGGTACCAACGTAAGTACAAGCAAGCACGCAAGCATGACTCCCCAGTAAGGAAGTTGAAGTTCATTTCCAAATCCTTCGCACGTGAACACTGCTAGACCTATCATTGATATTGTAAGAAGAATAAACCACCACATTGGAATGCTTCTGTACTTATTCATCATTTGCATATGAATATCAGAACAGCCTCTCTCCTCAGTTGATTGGCTTAATTGATTCCAAAATGACCTGCTCACATTGAAAATTTGGGCTCAGGTAAAGTATCTTGATGCATGCTATTGCAAGAAACCTTCATGATAATCTATGGTTTAGCCTTTTCTCAAAAAAAAAACCTATGGTTTAGCCACAACACATTAAATGTATATTGTTGGCAAATAAACATGCATATATAAAAGAGATGGTTAGCAAAGTATGATTATAATAGCAAAATCTGAATCTAGCATACAATTTGACTTTAACGAATGTCAAGTATAGGAAGCAGGAGCTCGCACGGCACAAATTGTATTCTCTAATGACATAAAACAATTATTCGCTGCCTAGGGGGGCTAGTTCCCACAATTATAGACAACGAATCACATATATTTCCATCTGGAAGAGATAATGTATATTACCATCATATATACCTATAGAAATAGATACAAGTTAAATGAATTTGAACTACTCAAGTCTGACAAGGCATCCATCTGTGAATGGAATAGCGCACCCGATTGCCTACGGATAAACGTGTTGTATGTAGCTATTAGTACCCACAAAATTGTAATATATTGTATACAATTCTAGTTACATAGTACTGTATGGTGACACCTATTTGCAGGCTTAAATTGGAGGTTGCTATAGAAAAAACACAAAGAGCTAACAAATTCTTAGGAAAACTATTCAACTGAAAAACGTTCTTCCAGTAATAAGGCAACAAATTTATATATATAATGGATCATGTTACTTTCCATACCTGCCATGAGAGAGTACAATGTTTGTAAGAGATGCTGCTAGAGCTGCAAATCCAAATCCAATAGAGCATGCTCGTGCAATACTCAGGTACAATTCTGAATAACTTTCATACCCATCTTGCTTAAATTGAAAACTACTTCCATCCAATACCCTGGACAAGTTATATCTACCACCGTAGACGTCGTACACTTCTGGGCTGATAATTGGAAAACTCTTTGCCTTAAATGAATTTGACCAGTAAGCAAAAGGGACAACAATATACATGAATATAATAAATCCAACCATTGTGTTGAAAATGACAAAGAAAGGGTAATATATAGGGTTTCCAGTGTAGCTGGTAGATGTTGACCAATCAAGGCCAAATGAACCAATCCCAAAACCATTTAACCCCGAGCCAAGTTGCTGAGCAATGATAGATCTTTTCCAAATTAGGCAGACAACTGACACTGCACTAATAGAAGGGAAGAAGTAGCCCGGAATGATGTAGTACGAAAAACTAATGACAAAGACCATGAAGAAAAATTGGCTTCTTGATAGCTTTGCATTTGATTTTTCATCCTTCTCATGAAATGCCCTAAGTTTAGTAAATATGACAACGCTATTAGGATAAAGTAAAAATACTGGACTAAGCAAGTGGGCATAAATGCTAGGGAAACCTGAACATTGTTACGTCTGATAGTACTTCAGGCCACCACATCTCTGAGCGATTCACAAAGGGCTTTATGAAGAAGCCAGCAAATCCATATATAATACTCTATGTAAATATCAATAAGTTTATAAGAAATCAGCTTTAAGTCGTATTACACAAAACATAAAGTAAACACGATCCTTCTTGACAATGATTTATTAAAAATATTAGTGAAAGAAGTGAAAACAATGTACACATAATTTCGGATTCATTCCAGTAAATAAAATGCTAAGATATATGGTCCAGAAATTTGGAGGATGTTTCATGCTTACATTCGTCGTGAGTAGGAGAAAGAAGAATGCCATTGGGTGAATTGATATCCTGAAATAGGCCCTTGTGGCAGCATAAAGATTTGCTGCTGGCATGGTTCCTAAACCAGAACTGAAGATCACCGTACTCAGTAGATGTTCCTTTATGTTGAAGGGACCTGGGTTTATGGAAATCTTAATTCTGGTTCCTCGAACCCTTAGATTGGATGGAAGCACTGATGCCATGAACTTTCCGAGAGAGTAGCACGATATTGTAACTACGAAATTTGAGACACCAACTGGGTTCTGACGAAAACCAGTCATTACACTGACTAAAGACATGATGATGCAGCCTGTGATCCCGATGATCCATACTCTCAATGTCAACGTAGGGAGTGTTGGATCATCTGTTGTTGGTACAGTCAGCCGTACTTGCTCTATCGGCGATTGGTCTTCATAAAGTTAACAGGTACCATGTAAGGAAAATATTAGACATTAGCAACACAAGCATATAAAAAACTTATAAAAAAGCGGCAGCTAAGATTTGCCATATTTTTCCCAGCGTCTCATAGTTAAGAGCTTGCTCAAAGCCTCCATGCCCCAACAAAGGCCAGTCACTGGTGGTGGCAGAAACAATCAAATTTGGAGTACCCGGCAGAATGACTACCTTTTTCTTCAGCATCACCATATTAACAGTTCAGCATAAGGAAAGTTTGAGTGGAACTCTACAAATCAGGCATCTAATCCCCACACCCACGATACAGCAGAATCCCCTACCAGATGCACTCGGCCCTTTACCCATACACATGAACAAGGGAATCTATATATGTGGAAGAACTTGATTATTTACTCCTCCATCTACAACCGGTCAATAGACTGACTACAGATATCATGATGTGTCGTGCGATCCGAATATGATCCATACTCTAAATGTCAGCGTAGGGAGTGCTAGATCATGTGTTGTTGGCACAGTCAGCAGTACTTGCTCTATCAAAGGCTGGTCTCCATAAAGTTCAAATAGACCGTGCATGGGGAATTTTTATGCAAGTTATAAAAGTGGCATCTAACATTTGACCATTTGTCCTAGGACTGCTAAACTAAGAGATCGCTCATGGCCTCCCTGCCCCAATGATGGTACAGTCGCCGCTAGTGGTCCAAACAGTCTCCAAACAGTCTAACCGCCCAGAGAATCAGGTAGAATGGTCGTAGCTTGCCATCGCATTGCTACATAAACGATGCGGGCTTAATCACATGGAAAAAGTTTGAGTAGAGCACTAAAATTTGCCTCTCAAATCACCCCAACCTCAATACAGCAGGACCGCATTGCTACATAAGCAATGTCACATAAGTTTGATATAATTGTTTGATGCTTCATTAATATACGGTTTAGGCTGGCATAAGGCTGCCGTTGTAGCGTCAAAAAAATGCACTAAAAAAATTGCGTGCACACTTTTTTTTAGAAAACTTTTGTGTGTGCACTTGATCGTAGATCGATTCGCCCCTCTATCCCTCTTTGGCTTTTTTATTAACGTGAAGCCTGAGCTCATATGCAGTTCCTTTGCAAGTTAAAAGCACAAAGTCCACTGCGCCGCCAGTCGCGGCAGCGCGCACCCCTGCGCCCACACCCGTGCGCCCTGTTGGGGCGGCCCATGCATGGGGCGGGCGCCCCCCTTTTTTCCTTTTCCTTTTTCCTTTTCTGTTTTTGGTTTATTCTATATTGAAATAAATCAGTATTGGTTCTAAAATTCAAAATATTGTGAATTTTCTTAAAACAGTTCTTGGATTCAAAAATGTTTGCGATTCAAAAGAATGAACTTTTTTAATTTTTGATGAACTTTTTATATGAGCATTTTTAATAATGATGAACTATTTTTCTATTTGATGAAAAAATGGATAATTGTTTTTCGAAATCAATGATATTTTTTAGTTTGATGAACATTTTTTGAAAATGATGAACAAAGCTTGAAATTAATGAACATTTTTTAGGTCGGTGATTTTTTTAATTTTGATAAATATTTTTAAATCCAATGAACAAAAGATTTGAATTCTCAGAACATTTTTGAGTTATTGAACATTTTTGGAATTCGATGAACAAAAAAGTGTTCATGAATTTGAAAAGAAAATAGAAAAAAAGTAAAGAGGAAAGAAAAACGAAAACACAAAAATAAAAGGAAAGGAGAAAAGAAACAACAAAAGGAAAAAAGGAAAAAGGAAAAAAACTTGGGGACCTCACATGGGCTGGCCCAGAAGGCGTGCAGGTGAGCTATGGGGGTGCGCGCCACGGCGCTATGCGGCGCCCTACGCGCTATATTGGGGGCGCCTGCTATGCAAGCCCATCGTGATCTCTTCAAAAGAAAAAGGCCATCGTGGAAGACAAAGATGTTTGTTAGTTGCAGCCACCACGCACGCACAGATCTAAAATAAATATATGTCGCTACTTATCTCTTCGTTTCCAAGCCGTCAGGGACTGTAGGCCTGCTACGGTCGGATCTTTCCATCGTGCGCGTTGCCGCGCCGCCATCTAGAAGCGGAGAAGGGAAGGGGATGCCAGAACAGACATACGTCAATCTACGGACCACGGACAGGTTGCCGGCAGGCCGGACACAACAACATGAGGGGGAAAGGTAGTTTATTTCCACATAGATTAGTTCGCGCCTTTACAAATTATAGAAGTATAATCATACAATGTAGGCATTAAGAATCAAATTATATCATTTTCAGTTATTTATTTGTGCTTGTGTAGACATGAAGAGGAAGAGAGCGAAATCAATTCATATATTTTTAAACCCAGTTGGTCCAAGCTCTCAACTGTCGAAATATGATGCTACTGCAAACGATGTGCAACCTGACGAAGGGAACCAGCCTAATCCTAACTAAGACTAAACACTTAAATTGATGCCATAGCGTAAGCAAGCAGTATTTAATTTCAAACATATATAATTTCTTAATCAGTTTTGCTAAAGCATATCTAGATGTGCCATAAGTATCGCACATCTAAGTTCTATGTCATTGATCTTACGTCGAGATTCGTGTGGATATTTTTTTTCTTTTTTCCTTTTCTATTTATGTTTAATTCACTCACTTAGATATGCAATAACTAGAGCACATCTAGATGTGCCCTAGACACACCCTTTCTTAATATATGATATCTAATAATTTTTCTCTACTGATTGCATGAGGTGGTTATATCCAAATCATCTTCCTTTTTGAGGAAATGATGAATATGGGGATTCCAAGAACCAAGGTAGTAGCCGGAACATAATTTACTTGTTATGCAAACTCCTAATCAAACAATTATGCCAGCAATAAAATTTCATGAATCTACATCTCTTGTGTCGTTGTCTTTCTATTAGTTTGCTATATATCACTGTAAGAGGCGGGTTAGTTCTATTAAGAAATTAGTGTAAAGGGTTAACCTAAGGGAAAAAAAATATCTTCTGCCAATGTCTTCGCCCCTCCTATGCTCAAATCGTGGCTTCGTCTCTGGTCCTATATACACACGAGCAAGGGAAACCATGTGGAAAAAACTTGATGGTTTATTGCTCGACCTATGTCAAATTTATATACACTAACTAGTTCGAACGGTCTCTACAGCCTGGTGTAGTCCTTAGGCGTTATGTACCCGTGTGTTGCATCCGATTAATTACTCCCATACAAAAAGGTTGTATATCAATGAATTGACAAGAACACGTTTTCTGGAATGTTCATGCAAAAATGTTTAACAATTGCGTTTACTCATTGATGGTAAAACCTGGTTGGTTGAACTACTCATACTTATTCACTTCTTGTTTTTTTTTTCTAATTATTACAGCGTGGTCCTACCCTGGATTCAAGCAGTTGTGAAAGAGGCCAAGCAATTTGCATGTACTATCTGATTATTTGACGACTTTAATTTCAAGAAAGGTCCGTTATATACTACTCCGGCCTACATGTACAATCTTTTTCAACAAGTAAATAGTGCAGGGGTCCCTCAAGCTACGTGTACAATATTTTTACTATTTAGAATGCCTCATAATTGGCTTGTTGATGGAGATTTCTACATCAATTTCGAAATGGCATCAAGCAAGAATATGCTATAGAACTCCAAAACAGTTGGCAAACCGAAATAACCCAAATAAATGAAAGAAGGGAGAACAATGTAGTATCAAGCATAAAGTATTAGCTTCTCAAATGAACTACTAATCAAATACAACAACAACTTTTATCAATATTGCACAATGTTATCTTCCTTATTTTTTTAATAAATTTAATAACAAGAATACATATTTTAATCTCATCTCATGGTACTTTATTAGTATATCTGTTGTTGTGGAATATATATAGAATTCCATAGAGCTACAAGCTCAGATTCAGGATTCCAGGATTCCAGTAAATTTTGCATTTCAAAAAAAAAGTTGGGACATTGATAAAACATCCATATGTAGTACAATGAGTTATAGATTTAGGTGGCACAGTGCTGCCAAAGCCAGCTCGTTGATTGAGCAATTTCAAGTATTTGATGACCCCGAAGTGCCATTTCGTTGCCAACTTATTTGTGTATAAGATACTATCTCCAAGGACTCTAATAAGAAGACTTGAGATCAACGACACTGCGATGTGGACACATGGGAAATGCGTTTATTAATTGAATATCTCCTCTAAAATAAGTGGTCACCCACATTTTATTACACCTGCCTTCAACCTACCGTGCATGTGTGGGGTGGGGGGGTTGGAGGGACCAACATAACCCTATTTAAAGCAGGATAATAAATGTACCAATCGTCCTAGTGCTTAGTTGCTATTGTCCGACGTACATAATCATCAATTCTCAATGCAGCATGCTAACTTTCAACCCAATTTTCGTCAACGCGTGGTTAGAAATATTTAAAGTTTTTTTCTACCATGAGGGGCATAAACTTAATGTAATAGTAATCATCATAGCTTTCCACCCAAGAACATGTATTGTGAAAAATATTTTCATGAGGATGGATACAACTACACTAAAACAAATAGCCTAAATGACTCTCCCTTCTAAAAGGTCTATCTATTTATTGTAATTTTTTTTCTGGTATAAAATTGAAGAGTTGCTACATTACATGTGACATTATTTTTAAGAGTAGAGGGGCCCGGAAAGACCCGTGGCTTAATTTATATTAGGACAATGACATTACAAAGCTCACAGAAGGACTCAAAGAAAGAAAAATTAAAATCATGACTAACGGATAACAAGCTTATTAAGGATGGGCCTCTAGATCGGCCTCCCGACATATCTCTCCACTAGAAAGATTCACCGAATAATGGAGTTGGACCTCACCCAACATCGCTCGCAAGCTCAAGGATGGAGCTCCAAAAGAAGAAAGAAGGGGGGAGGGTTTGTGGGAGTGATGGTGGCCGAAGCAATGCCTCACCACAAATCTGGCCGAGAGGTGCCAACATAGGAGCCACCGGCTGGCTCTATCCAACCCTACATCGACTTCACCACATTAACTAGAGGAAGATGAGGAAGGGGGGAAAGCAAGTTGGATCTAGATCTGACCGCCTCATTAATTGGTAGGTATCCTCCTCCTTCCCCTAGTCTAGCTGGCAGCGTTGATGGAAGACAGAGGAAGAAGGGCGGCCGGAATCCGGCATCAAGCCGACCTCACTCAAGAACAACATGAACAAGAGGATGGAACAAAGAAGGGGATGATTTAGGTGTGTGCCGCTAGTGCTTACATGTGACATTGATTACATGCAGGCGCGTAAAGATTAAGGTTTATTTTTCTAGAAATGAACATATTTTTTATGTATGTTTCTTAAGATCTAGTACCAATTAATTGAGAGATTTACCCATGTTTTAAGGATGAATTTCAATATGGTTCAATTCAAATGAAACAACAACTTTAATACATATATAGTATGTCTTACCTTGATGCATAGAAGTTTCTTCCATTGAAGTCTCCTCTTCTCTTCCTTGTTTTTATTTTTCTCTTGATTATAAGGAAATTTTTGGCTTGCGATACCACCCATGGCCTATTTATAGCCAACGACTTTCATGTGAAGTTTTAGCTTTGTCTGAGTGCCAGCTGCATATTACGTGGCTAAATTGTGTAAAGTAAGGATATAAATGTGCAACCAACGTAATTAATTGTATTTTTTATTTTCTTGCATGTGAAATTTTTGTTTTGCGTGAGTGCCAACTGCACATTCCCTGGAGGAATTGTGACAAGTAAGGAAATGAATGAGGCAAATTAATGTAATTAATTGTGGGACTACAATAACTGGCGATCATTTTCTTTTTGGAACAGGTGTGAACGTTCCCTCCCTATGAGACTGAGTCGTGACTGGTTCAACAACTCCTGATTCTTCTCCCACTAGCACAAGTGAGGCGGAGCACATGAGGCTGGTCGTAATGATAGTATCATAGCTAGTATCATGCATGCCAACTAGGCAATTTTGATGAGGTGTCATAGCATTAAATGAAGAAAGAGAGGGTGAAGTATCATATCATGATACAGTATCATAATAAATGCTATGCTACTTTGTGTCATGCATCACAATAAATAGAGTACTACATGATACTAATATATGATATTATGCTTTAGGGAGGTAGTATCATACACTAGTATCATATGCATGATACTAGTGATACTCCCCATTACAACCAGCCTGAGCACATGAGGCCGAGCCCTAACGACGCCGATTGCACGAGATAGCTTGAGGAAAATTGGCCGTCAAACCTCCCAATTTCTTACCCATGTTACGAGAACAAAAATCCCACAAACCCCCTATGTCTCTCTACCTTTGAAACTCAATTCTACTCTTCTATCCGATCTTGTGGATGATCTACCACATGGCGTTCGGGGTCAAGGCACAATGGTTCTTCCTTTGAAGAAGAAACTTACCATACCCAAACCCATGACAGCGAGTGTGGATAGAGGAAGTTATCAGCACGCAAACACTAGATTACCAGAGTGCATGTGTCAATACAAAAAAAGACACACCCGTGACATTATGGCCCGAACGAATTTTTTCCTGTCATGGTTATGACACTTCTATGACGATAATTGTGACAAAACACGTATCATCATAGATGTGATGGGCTCCTACTTATATAACAAAAAATCATGACAGAAAATGGGCTTTTCGTCCTGGGCGGGCCGGGGACGCACGTGCATGACATCTTTTGGGCCGTCCACGGCATAAAAAATCGTGGTAGAAGTGAGGGCGAGGAATTTTCACGGAGTTCTTGGTTACGGTGGGTGGTCAAGGCCGAGCGATGTAGTGTGGTTTGCATGTTTCTCTCTCCTATGCGTGCGTGTGAGAGCCATGTTCGCTATAACTGACACGAGCGAGGCGTTCGATCACTTACTGAACCCGAGCGATTGATCGACCCCACTACATAAGGAAACCGATCGATCCCTTCGCTGCTAACTGAATCCAAGCGATTCCTTTACTGGTACTGCTAACTGAACCCACGCGATTTCGTTGGTGCTGCTAACTGAACCCAAGCGATTAATCACTGCTGCTTCTTATACTGAAGCCGGTTGAGCCCTCGTGCGAGATGCAGTCACCCGGTGTGTTGGGTTGCCTCTGGATGAATAGTGCCCATTACTACTGTGGACGCAATACGTGGAACGAATCGAGACGTGGTGAGTCGACCTAGCCGGTTGGTTGGCTGTGGATGAACAGTTCCCGGTGGGGGTTGAATATGAACATGACCCCGACCATGTGTAGGCGGTTGCCGCTGGATGAAGAGGACCCCGTGGTAGTAGGAAGTTGCCGCTGGATGAACAAGATACCGAGGAGGCCGCCACACACCCCAGCTGGTTGGGGTGGATGAACATGACCCCGTGGAGGCTGGTTGAACAGGAGCCAGTGCAGGCTGGATGAACAGTAGCCCGTGGATGAACAGTGACAGGTGGAGCCTGGAGGAAGTCGACGGTGGATGAACAGTAGCAGATGGAGGCTGGAGGAAGTCGATGGTGGATGAGCAGTAGCCCGTAGAGTCCCGTTTACGGTACGCCACACCCCTCCCGACGAACAGGACCCCATTTCGACCGTAGGTTCTCGAAGAGGAAGTTCGTTTCCTTCCGTTTTCTAGTTCAAGTGATGATGATGTTTTCATTTCTATCTTGTCATTCCAATGATAATGTTTCTTACACTCTCCCACTAATTTAAATGCTATTCTAATTCTCTGCAGATGAAGAGGATGCTTAGCTATTAAATGTTTTTGCCAAAAAAAATCAGTTTTCTTTGGACTCATAACATGGTCTAGACCATCTCATCCATTGTATCAGAATGCAAACTTGGTTCTCTTTTTACTCTATGTTACTACTGCAATAAAGTTATGCTTATTATAATTTTTTAGTTCAAGTGATGACAATGTTTTCATTTCTATCTTGTCATTCGAATGATAATGTTTCATTTCCGTGCACACTTATATTTGTCGCTGGTTGCTGCATGACATTTCATGATGTTTTTAGCTGCTATATATCTCACCATTGTTCTAATGTCATAGTATAACTCCTTATTTCTTGTACCTATGCAAAATTGAATATTGAGACATTAGATATAAAAAGAACTCCACGGTACGGCCACTGATCACATACCATCAAAGAATTAGTGCATTATTAAATTATTGCCTGCTAATTAACTCAGATGATTAAGGATTTTTTTTGTGTATATTTAGGGGCCGTTCGGTGTCCTCCCGCTCCGTGCGGAGCTGTGGTTAGAAATTTCAGAGCGGGCGAAAGGGTGCTCCCCAGCTCTGCGTATTTTCAGGAGCTGGTGGATTGCCGTACGCGCCCTTATACATGTGTTGCACGTACACGTAGGGCCGACCCTGAGGGGCGACAGGGGGCGGCCGCCTGATACGTCTCCCACGTATCTATAATTTTTGATTGTTCCATGCTATTGTATTATCTATTTTGCATGTTTAATGGGCTTTAATATACATTTTTATATTATTTTTGATACTAACCTACTAACCAAAGACCCAGTGCAAATTGCTGTTTTTTTGCCTATTTCAGTGTTCGTAGAAAAGGAATATCAAACGGAATGAAACCTTCGGGAGAGTTATTTTTGGAACAAACACGATCCATGAGACTTGGAGTGAACGTCAAGCGAGAAGCAAGGAGGCCACGAGGCAGGAGGGCGTGCCCAGGGGGGTAGGCGCGCCCCCACCCTCGTGGGCCCATCGCAGCTCCACCGACGTACTTCTTCCTCATGTATATACCCATATACCCCGAAAACATCCAGGAGCACCACGAAACCCTATTTCCACCGCTGCAACCTTCTGTACCCATGAGATCCCATCTTGGGGACTTTTTTGGCGCTCCACCGGAGGGGGAATCGACCACGGAGGGCTTCTACATCAACACCATAGCCTCTCCGATGATGTGTGAGTAGTTTACCACAGACCTTCGGGTCCATAGTTATTAGCTAGGTGGATTCTTCTCTCTCTTTGGATCTCAATACAAGTTCTCCTCGATTCTCTTGGAGATCTATTCGTTGTAATTCTTTTTGCGGTGTGTTTGTCGAGATCCGATGAATTGTGGGTTTATGATCAAGATTATCTATGAACAATATTTGATTCTTCTCTGAAATCTTTTATGCATGATTTAATATCTTTGCAAGTCTCTTTGAATTATCAGTTTGGTTTGGCCTACTAGGTTGATATTTCTTGCAACGGGAGAAGTGCTTAGCTTTGGGTTCAATCTTGCGGTGTCCTTTCCTAATGACAGCAGGGGCAGCAAGGCACGTATTATATTGTTGCCATCGAGGATAAAAAGATGAGGTTTATATCATATTGCTTGAGTTTATCCCGCTACATCATGTCATCTTGCCTAATACATTACTCTGTTCTTACTAACTTAATACTCTAGATGCATGCTGGATAGCGGTCGATGTGTGGAGTAATAGTAGTAGATGCAGAATCGTTTTGGTCTACTTGTCGTGGACGTGATGCCTATATACATGATCATGCCTAGATATTCTCACAATTATTCGCTTTTCTATCAATTGCTCGACAGTAATTTGTTTACCCACCATAGAATTTTCTATCTTGAGAGAAGCCACTAGCGAAACCTATGGCCCCCGGGTCTATTCTCCATTATATTAATCTTCCGTCAACTTGCTATTTCTATTACCGTTTATTTTGCAATCTTTATTTTCCAATCTATATCATAAAAATACCAAAAATATTTATCTTATTATCTCTATCAGATCTCACTTTCGCAAGTGACTATGAAGGGATTGAACACCCCTTTATCGCGTTGGTTGCGAGGTTCTTGTTTGTTTGTGCAGGTACTAGGCGACTTGAGTGTAATCTCCTACTGATTTGATACCTTGGTTCTCAAAAACTGAGGGAAATAGTTACGCTACTTTGCTGCATCACCCTTTCCTCTTCAAGGGAAAACCAACGCATGCTCAAGAGGTAGCAAGAAGGATTTCTGGCGCCGTTGCCGGGGAGGTTGCACCAAGTCAAGTCAAGATTCGATCTACCAACAACTAGCCATTTTTGGTGCCGTCTACACACAAGTCAAGACATACCAAGTACCCATCACAAACTCTTATCCCTCGCATTACATTATTTGCCATTTGCCTCTCGTTTTCCTCTCCCCCACTTCACCTTTGCCGTTTTATTCTCCCTTCTTCCGTTTGATCTTTTGTTTGCTTGTGTTACCATGTACCTTCTTTTTGCCTACATCTTCGCTTGCTAAAAGTTTATGGATCCTCATCCACTTGCTAATCTCTTTAAGAGATCCATTTATGATGAACCTATTTCTAGTGAGTTGAGTGCACTAGATTATCTTTATGAGGTTTTGCTTGAAATTCGTGAATCTGAAAAGTGTGATGAAGTACTTTATGAAGCGATTCACGATAGATCTTTGAATAAAAAGCATGATTGCAATGATTTTATTATAAATTATATTGTTGTAAATTGTGCTA